AGGGGGGGGGGGAGCAGGGCTTGGCAATGAGTCTCTTTAGCAAAATCCAGATACTATGTTAGTGCACCTCTTCGGCAAACAATAATATGATATGAACCGATTCCGCCAGTGGGTTACAATTAGAACCACTTCGACAAACGAGTTAGAACCACTTCAACAAATGGGTGCAACCACTTCAGCAGACGGGTCAGGAAAGAGAGTTAAGAGTCTGAATTCGGATAATGTCTTATTGGGGATTATCGGATTATCCGGATATTTATCCGGATTTTGCCCACCTCTAACGAGGGGCAACTCCAGCGCGCGTCACCTGTACAGTGGAACCTGCTCTGATGGTCCCCTGTACAAGACAATCACCTGTACAAGACAACCACCTGTACAAGACAATCACCTGTACAAGACAATCACCTGTCTAAGACAATCACTTGTCCAAGACAATCACCTGCTCAAGACAATCACCTGTATAAGAAAATCATATGTCCAAGACACTTTTCTCGACAACGGATGGTCGTCTTGGCCAATTTGGACTGTGTTTTATGTAGGTTGCCAGGTAGTACTTGTGCGTGATAGTGTTGTGTAGTACTCAATATTTCACCGCTCCAAAGATCGTACATAACAAGATAGTTCACTCAGCTAAATAAAAGTGTCCGCGGAAGTCCGCGCATTGCTTCAGATGGCGCTGCAGTCTTTGTTTTGAAGCTCTCTTTCGTTTCGCCAGAAGAAGAATAGGAATAGCTCAGTTTGTTAGTTTCGCTTTTATTGTTTTTCACACAAGTAGGGTAACTCTGATGGCAAAGTCCGCACTTTTTCGAAGATGGCGCCACCGGATTTTGAGGACATTTTTATAATTGACTCAAGGAGAGGAGTGGACTATCTTGTTTATGTACTATCTTTGACCGCTCACAAGCGCTCGATAATAATATTACTACTCGAGCGCTCTCAGTTCGAGCCAAAAGACTCTGTTTTGACTCATCTGGCTATCCCTATCCGAATTCCTTACCTGTGCTGCAACAGGGAGGCAAGCGACACAATGATATAACACCAAAGAGACAGGGAAGGAGAGGCGTTGTGTGGTTTGGGGGGTGGGGTGGGTGTGGTTTGAAGGGTGGGGTGGGGGTGAATGGAGACCACCCCCCACCCTCCAGAAATATATATATTTAACCCTATCCGTACGCCCTGGGGTCATTTTGTACCCCCGGAGTTGTATTCTTCACATTTTAGAATACTTCTAGTACGAAGATCTCTTTGAAACTTTCAGTATTAAAAAAAAACCCCCTCAACATTTTGACAAACTGCTATGCAAAGTGTACGGATCGGATTAACGAGTAAATTTCCTCTTTGGAAAGTGGTAGCACATAGTTCCCCACGTCGTATTGATACGATAGTAAAACACGACCTACGGATAGGGTTAAATAATCCAACCATGAAAACGCTGCAGTCTCTCTGCATCTCTCTGCACAGCGTTTTCAAAAGGAGGAGACAGAGTTACTCCTTAAAACACCGACTGTGGGTGGTTGGCGGGTGCCCCGATGTGGTTTGTTCCTTCTCTCCTGTCAAAGATCTATCGTTCCCACCTCTCTCCTCCTTCATTTATTTGTATGTTACTATCTAGTACCACCTCTAATCTTCGGCACTTATATGACCTAATTATCTTGCAAGTGCCGTAAAACTCTTACTGAAACCAAACTAAAGAACACCGACCACTATTGAGAGAGTTAAGGTTCGGTACCTCATGAACAGCTCTGATTCGAGTACTGAAGATACTACTCGAATAGCTCGAGCTAGGCCAAAGATTCTGTATAACAAGATGGTTCACTACTCTCTTTGAACCAATTAAAAACGTGTCCTCAAAATTTGGTGGCGCTCTCTTCGAAAAAGCGCCCGCTTTGCGAGCAGAGTTACCCTACTTGTGTGGAAAAAATAATCAAAGTGAAACTAACAAGTTTTTGTGTAAATCATAATTAAAATTTCGGAATAACGCCTTTTAAAATGGTTACGCTGACAAAAATCCTCTTCAGGTGGAAGGGGCGACTGTTTTCTTCGTTCAATTTGGCTGTAGAACGAGAGGCGAGAGGTCATGAAAATTAAAATAAACTCAAAACTCCACGCTGAGCGAACCGGAACAGCTGATGCGCCAGGTGGTGCTATTCCCATTCTTCTTCTGGAGAAACGATAGAGAGCTTCAAAACAAAGACTTCAGTGACATCTGAAGCAATGCGCAGACTTCCGCGGACACTTTTTTGGCCGAGTGAACTATCTTGTTATGTACAATCTTTGGCAAGGCGTCGCTCGCGAGTAACGAGTATTTGAGCACGCTCGACACAACATCATTGTCGCATGGTATCCTAGAAGCTTTTGCCTGGGGGTTCTTAATCCGAATCAGGTGGCTATAAATAGATGGACAGGTAATTTTACGGCGCAGAAAAGGTGGAATGACGTCAGGTGAAAGGGTGAGAGGGAACATTTTGTCACAGGTTCTTATAATATACATATTTATATATCGGAATGAACATAGGTGTACATCTTGCTGTGCAAACAAACATTGCGTCACAAGTATAAGGAAGAGTGCTAAGCCAAGACTTGTGCATTATGACATATTATCCTAGATATTGTATTCTGGCGTATTTCCGGTGCACTATAGAACGCGCCATCTGACTTGAATCGAGCGAGATGACGGGCAAAAAAATGAAAAGGAAGGGGAGGGGCGGGAGAATGGAGGTGACGCAAGCACTCGACAAAAGCGAAACTGGTGATCTGTCTCCCATTGGGTTGATAATGGCATGCTGCAAGGTGGTGACGTTTCGAGTCTAATTTTTATTCTTTTTCGAAGAGATGCGACCATGACAGTGTGTGGTCAATGTGTACAAGTCTATGGCACCGAGTATCGCCAGTCACATGACAACACTGGTCTACAGTCTACACTACTCACCGAATGACGAAAGAGCGCATGAACCTCTGAGCGTCGTGGATGGCTTTCTTGAGGGCTCGACTATCTTTTCTCCCATCAAACATCTATCATCCTTATCCTCCCCCCTCTCTCTTCTCTTTGTTTGGTACTCTCCTGTAGTAACTCCTCTAATCTTTGGCATTTACATGACCTATAATATGTGTTGCAAGTGCAATAAAATTCTTACAAGAAAACAAAAATAAAAACAACAACAAAAATAAACAAGCCAACCCCCAAAAAACCCAACAAAAAAAAACACACACCCCAAAACCTCCAGTCGCCTAGTCACGTGATAATAGAGGTATATTATTATAGTCACGTGATAAAGTGGTCCAGTCACAGGAGATCTCAAAAGCCCTGCCACGTGACCACGTTACAGAGGCCTAGTCACGTGACTGCACTGGTCTAAAGTACTCACCGAATGACCGTTGAGGGAGGAACCTCTGAGCGTCGTGGATGGCTCCCTTGAGGGCTCGACTATATTTTCTCCCATCAAACATCTATCATCATCTTTACCCCCCCCCCCCCTTCCCCCTCCTTCTTCTCTTTGTTTGGTACTTTTTAGTAGTAAAACCTCTAATCTTTGGAATAATTTATATGACCCATAGTATGAGAGGGTTTTTTGGGGGTAAGTGTTTTACGGAGCGCGCAACTGCATAAAGTCATATGAGCGCGCTAATATGTGTTGCAAATGTCGTAAAATTCTAAGAAGAAAAAACCAAAACAAAAGAAAACAAAACCCAAACAAATCAACAAATTAAAAAACCCAAAGTCGCGTAGTCATGTGATAACAGAGGTATATAGTCACGTGATGAAGTGGTTCAGTCTAACCACGTGACCACAGAGGCCCAATCACGTGACCCCAAAGGCCCAACCACGTGACAACACTGGTCTACAGTCTACAGTACTCACCGGATGACGGTAGAGGGCAGGAACCTCTGCGCGTCGTGGATGGCTCCCTTGAGGGCGTTGACGGTTGTCTCCGCGCTGAACCCTTCGTCCCAGCCATAGGGAGCTAGCCACGCGATGCGGATCTGCTCCGGCACACGGATGGTGGTGGTGGTTGTTGCTGTTGTTGTTACCGTTGTTGTTGTTGCTGTTGTTGGGGGTTGTGATGGTGGTGTTGTTGATGTTGGGTTTAATGTGTCTGACGTTGTGGCGGCGGTTGTGGAAGGAGGCGAAACAGGACTTGTGTTAATGGTGGCGGTTGTGGATGGAGGCGAAACAGGACTTCTGTCTGAGGCGGCGGTCATGGAACGAGGCGAAACAGGACTTCTGTTTGTAGTGGTGGCGATTGTGGATAGAGGCGAAACAGGACTTGTGTTTGGTGCCTCTGTTGGTGGTTGTGAAGGCTCTTGTGAAATTCTCTGAGATGTGGGCCTTGTGCTGGTCGGAGGAAATCCTTTCGCCTGTGTGGGCGTTACTGGGTTGACAGGTGTGTGGGGTATGTGTGTGGGTATGTGTGTGGGTATGTGTGTGGGTGTGGGAGGGAGAATGGGAGAGGTTTGGAGTACCTGTTTGGGTGCAGAAGGTGTGTTGGGTATGTGTGTGAGAGTGGGAGAGGTTGGGGATACACGCATGTTGTGTGGGTAGGAGTTTGGGGGAAAATGTGTGGGGGTGGTAGAAGTGTTGGGTACGATCTCCGTGTTGGGACCCTGTGTGGAAGAAGAAAAAGGGGTGTGGGGTGCCTGTGTGAGAGAAAAGGGGGTGTGGGGTGCCTGTGTGAGAGAAAAGGGGGTGTGGGGTGCCTGTGTGGGAGAAGAAAAGGGTGTGTGGGGTGCCTGAGTCGGGGTGGGAGACTTGTTGGGTGTCTGTGTGAGAGATTCCAAAGAGGCCTTTGTGACTGACGTAATTGTACTCAAAGACACACTGTCACGCTCAGCGTGTGGGGTTGTAGTTCCTAGCTCAGTAGAACCCACAGAATCAGCTGCAGATCTCTTCCACAGTCTGACAGAATTCGGAGCGCGAACTGTTTTTGACAGGTCTGGAAGGTCACTGTTTGACCTCTGGGCAGCGCCGGCCTGGTGAGATCTATTGGGCGTTGCCCAGCTCACGATAAGAGAAATCGCAGTGTTGGGGACCTGGGAGCCGAGAGGCGATGTGTCTCGGAGAGAAAACACGTTTGTATTCTGGCGTGGCTCTCTTGTGTAGGTTTTTAATTTACCGTCAACTACGCTTTCTTTTTCTTCTTCTTTTTCTAAAGTCAGAGATAGTTTTGAGATTGAGTTTTCTGATGCGTCATGCGAAGTCAGAGACAGCTTTGAGACTGAGTTGCTAGAAGCGTAATGGCGTTCTCGTTCTGGTAAATTCTTGTTTCTAGGACTGATGATGTTGTTGTTCGCCTTCTGGGCTGTTGTCAAGTCTTCCGAAATCGAAGTGTTTCGTAACGTCCGATACATCAATTGTGCTTGTTTCGAATTTGAGTCGATAGGATCAGCTGAGTGTGGAAGCGGCGCCCCGTGAGAAAATGACACCTCGGAAGGAGGTTTCGCTGAGACCGACCCGTGCCAGAAGTGTGTCGGGGACAGCAGACGAGAAGACGCCACACCGGCCCAGCTGGCGGGGGGAGTGACGTCAGTGCCAGACGTCTGTCTGTACAGCTGCAGTTTTCCCGCCAACACCTGGCCCTGGAGGATGTCCTGTGGCGGGAGACGAGCTGGCAGGATCCCCGGATCCTCTCCCCCTGTGACGTTTCCGTGTATCACGTGACATGACGTATATCCGGCTAGCCACAACAGAACCGGGATACTGCTGGCGAGCATCCACTGGGCGCAACTCCACAACGGTCGCATGGTAAATCGAGAAGCTGGACCCTGGACAAAATTTGGGTTGACTTGACGTTTTCAATGATCTATAAAACACGGAGCAGCAGCCATTCTGAATTTAAACAGCCTGTTACAATTATTGAAATTGTAGTCTTTAAAATGTAAGGCATTGCTGGTTGTGGTTATGAAGACTCACTGACAGCTTGCAAAGTACAGTCTTTTAAAAAAAATCTTGGCAGCATACCAGATCCAGTCAGTCACAACACCGTGGCAACTCAGAGCGTTTCTGTCGTTAAATTCATATTTTATTTTTCCCTCTCCCCGACTACCTGTATAAGATTAAGAATGAGCTTTTCCACTTGGGGCTAGGTCTTTTGAAAACCACTGGGCTGTCTTTATTTAACATCAAAACACTGCAAGCAAGCAGAGATCAGCGTTTATCATAAATTGTGTTAAGATAATTTGGTCTAGCTCTTTTCTTTCTCGGCGTTAAGAGCAAAAAATGACACCAAGCGTTTCGGTTTTTACGACTTCAGCTAAAAGACTCCTGGGAAACCCCCAAAAAGAGTTCTGGGAACCCTCAGATAACTTCCGAGAGATGTGTATAGACTTTCAGGAAACTCTAACTCTAAGAGGCTTCTAAGAAACAATGATAGACTTTCGAGGAATTTCGATTGACTTCAAGGCAACTCTGCCATCAATGCTGAGTGCTACCAAGTGACTTCATCATTATGAGTGTCACTCCCTCTGTGATCACAAAATGAGTTGAAGTGAGATCTGAGGTCTATAAGGCGGGCTGGCAGATCAAAAAAACCGGTTTGAAGAGCCCGACGGACGAAGTTCTCAGTGTTTGAGAAAGAGAGGGAGATAACGAGGGAGATAACCAAACATTAATGTCCGAGTGAGGCTGTCCAGACTGTGGGAGTCTTCAGGGGCACAATCGGTCACGTACTTCTCTGAGTACTTATCTGGAAAAAACCACAACAAACAAGCAAAATATGACAATTACTTTCTATGAATAATGCTTTGGTTCACAATGAAATGAATCAATAAGTACATGTAAATATTTAGATTCCACGTTTATTGATCTCATTATTAAAGGGATTTGGTGTACAAATATAGCGTCCACACCTAGATACATCAACAAATACATTCAATAATACATCTTTTTAAAAGTATCCCTTGCTCATTTCTATGAGATTGAAGCCATCTGATTATTAGAAAAAGTGCGTATGATAGTGTCCAATAGTGCATTACGTGCATACTTAGTTTAACAAGTAACTGTAATAGCAGATAGAGATTCCAGGATTATAGATGCAAGTCACTGATCTGCAAGCGGTGATGATTTTAGAAATAATGGTGGTGATGAGTGATGATGTGGGATTGCGTTTAAGTAATGTTAGCGTTAGTCCTATCTTCCTCTGCTCCAATGAGTCTCGAGGGATGTGGGCACCCTCTATCCCGTTCCCTACTGGAGCCATCTTTACGGTCGCACAGTATTCAATAATACATCAATAATTTTAAAATGTAAGAGTTTTTTCGAAAAATTTCCATTAGTCATAATTTAGTAGGCGGGCTTGAACCATGCCCCCCCCCTCCCCCTGGGCAGTGCCACTGACTGAAGTTGTTTTTAGGCCATTCCCAAAGGGTTGATATTTACATGTTCTTACGCACAGTAGAATTGTAAATGGGTTGATTGATCAATGTCATGCTCATACTGTGCCGGAACAACATAGGGGAACTGCTGCTTTTTCTTTCCTCATCCTTACTATTATCATTTTTCCTCTACTTCTTTTGTATGTTTGTCACTCTCTTGTGAACTGCTATTTCCGGGGTGCCTTAATAGTCGAAGCAAACTTTGTGCTGTTGAAACTAGACAGGTGAGCAGAGTAAGCCTGATTCCCTGTTTGGACTTCTCTGTTGACATCCACCCCTTGGCGCTCATATGATTTTATGCTACACCACAGACTCCAGTGAAACAACTCTTTCACATGATATGCCAGACAGAAATAATCTTACACCGGTTGTTTGAAATATTGTTCAAATTTTCAATCGTACGCCCTGGGGTCATTTTGTACCCCCGGGGTTGTATTCTTCGCATTTTAGAATACTTCTAGTACGAAGATCTCTTTGAAACTTTCAGTATTTCTCAAAAAATCATTTTGACAGACTGCTATGCAAAGCATACGGATCAGATTAACGAGTAAATTTCCTCTTTTGAAAATGGTGGCACAGAGTTCCCCACGTCGTATGGATACGATAG